GATAGATAGATAGATAGATAGATAGATAGATAGATAGATAGATAGATTGATTCTAGGTGTCTTCCTCGGCAGCTCTTCACTTTACTGAGGAAGGATCTCACGAAACCTGGAGCTCACCCTTTCTGCTGGTCTAGCATACCAGTTTACTCTGTCTTCATCTGCACAAGTGCTGGGTTTAGAGGCAGCTGCCATGGCCACCTGGAGAAGCCTCTTTCTCTCTTTAGCCTTACAGCTATGTCTGAAAATCTCTAGCCCTTTAACCTCACCCCAGACTACCCAGGTGGACAGCCTCTAGGAGAATGACTCCAGCCAGTCTATTTCCCCAAGAAAGCTTACAGAGTTCAAGTTGCCAGACTCTGGGGCATCGGGAGACCGCCATGTTCCGGCACCCCCACCTGTATTGACGGGAACATCTTAACCTAATGTGCCCCTCCTCCTCCACATCCTCAGAGTCACACATTCCCTCCAAGAAATTCTCTCCCCTCTTCCTGACAGCAGGAATCACGGACAGCCTGGCAGCGGCCACTGCAGCGCCCTACGCATCAACCACCAGCACAAAAGCCCGTCCCTTCCTCTGAGATCAGTAAGAAGGCTCCGCTACTCTGCATCATGGGCCAGAACCCTCTGTGCTGGCTTGTTTTTTGTCAGCTGGACACAATCCAGGGCTGTTTTGGAAGAGAGAACCTCAACTGAGAGAATGCATGGCTCAGATATGATGCATTTTTCTTTTATTGATTATTGATGAGGCAGGCAAGCAGCCACACTGGGCGGTGGTCCTGGGCTGTATCAGGAAGCAGGCAGAGCAAGTCACGAGGAGCAAGCCAATAATTAGTGTTCCTCCGTGGCCTCTGCTTCAGTTCCTACCTCCAGTGATCCTGCCTCAGTTTCCCTAGATGGTAAACTCTAACCTGTAAGCCCTTGCTTTTGGTCATGGTGTCTGTCACAGCACTACGAGAAGCAAACCAGAACCCTCTTTTTAGATCCCCTGCCATCTTGTCTGTCTCCTTGTAGGCTCATGACATTAATAATTCTTCCAATGAATCTCTTACTCAAAAGGACAGTCCATACCGGTGTCCCCTGAATCTCAAACTCGAGACACTTCAGTTGCTATTCTTATCCCTGTGACAGGTGCCGAGGGATGAGGAGCTTATTTTGTTCACTGCTTCAGGAGACACAGCAACAGGAGTGACACAGTGATGGCTCCCATACCAGGAAGCAGAGAACAGACCCAGAAGTGCGGCTAGCCGTAACCTTAAGGGGTGTGTTGGCTAGTTTTATATCCACTTGACATAAGCCAAAGTCATCTGAGAGGAGGGACCTCAATTGAGAAAATGCCTCCATCAGACAGGGCTGTAGGCAAGCCTGCAGGGCTTCTTAATCAGTGACTGACGGGGGAGGGCCCGGCCCATCGTGAGTGGTGCCATCCCTGGGTTGGTGGTCCCAGGTTCTATGAGAAAGCAGTCTGAGCGAGTCAGTTAAGCCTGAGAAAGTGGAGAAAGCCAGTAAGCGACACCCCTCCACGGCCTCTGCATCAGCTCCTGCCCCCAGGTTCCTTCCCTGTTTGATTTCTTTCTTAATGATAAAAAGTGATGTGGAAGCATAAGCTGAATAAACCATCCCCCCACCCCCAACTTGCTCTTGGTCATGGTTTTTCATTACAGCAATAGTAACCCTAACTAGGACAAGGGGCACGCCCCAGTAAGCCATGCCTCCCAGCCTGAGGTGCATATGAGTCTGAGGGGAACATTTCAGACTCAGTTCTTAATAGCTACCACATTGCTTCCATGGGAGGAAATAAGAGCTAGGAACGTCCTATGCTGCCATCTGGCTTGTAATCGCCCTCTACTCTTAAGTGACAAATTCTTTAGCAGAAATGTAGGTGTGATTTGTGTTAAGCCTGAGGACAGTAATGAGCGCCTGCTAGAGTCCCACACTCACCCATGTACAGGATCATCGGAGACAGAAGCGGCAGGATGGAAACCAGATTGACTTTTTTTTTTTTCACACTGAGAGAGATAATTCCCAAGGTTGTGACATTTACCTTTGGATAGCTATGAGCAAGGCGCTCATTAAGGCAGAAATGTAAGTGGCTAATGCTTCTCTGTGCATTAGGAGCCTTTTGATACCATCACGGCTCTTACGAACAGGACAGCTTTATAACTCTCGAAAGGCAATATCTCTCCTCGTTGAAAGCATTTCAGGTTCAAAGAGGGGAAATTTCCCCTCCAAGCAGGAAAGGGTACCTCACACTCTCCATAGAATATCAAAAATAACTGAAACAACCCCTAATAGGCAGTGAGTTGGATTGTTAGAAGCTGCGGGCGGAAAAGGCTTTCATGGTAATAGCTGATTTAAAAGCTAAAAGCGGTGCCCCTCGCCAGGTAGGGAATTTACCAAATGATAAGTAACTGGCTTATTTGAAGTGGAGGGAACATCCAGGTGTGCATTTGGGTTTGCACGCCCGTGTCACACCATGTGCTCCTCATGCTACAATTACCGTAGAATATGAAAGGAAAATAGAAGCAGAGCCAGGACATCGATTAAACCATGTAGGGACATAGACGTTTTCACCGAGAGCCAAGTCTTTAGGACTTCTGGGTCAATGTCACTTGGATTTCTGGATCTGTATCAAACATCAGCAATGATTGCTTGGAGTGGCGCTGTGGTTGTTTGTTGTAGTGGAGAGCGGCATGGTAGGTGTGGCTGCTCATTGACTTGAGCTAGGTCTTGGTCGGCCATGGTTGGATTTTTGAAAGCCAAGGTGGTAGAGCTCAAAGTCAGGGAAGACATAAGGAATGGTTTCTTGTGAATCTTCAGGGTGGGTGTTCTTAAAGTGGAATGTTTTGCATAATTCTTCTTGTTACATTTTGGATGGGATTTTTAGCAGCTATGACTGCTTTGGAGATTTTGGTGAAGCACTGAGGTGAGCACTGATATCCCCTGCCTCCCAATATCTATCTATCTATCTATCTATCTATCTATCTATCTATCTATCTATCTATCTATCTATCCATCCACTTATCTACCTATCTATGTATCTATCTATGTATCTATGTATGTATCTATCTATCTATCTATCTATCTATCTATCTATCTATCTATCTATCTATCATCTATCTATCCATCCATCTATCTACCCACACACCCACCCATAGACAGAATATGTTTTGTCATGGAGAGCTGGAAGATATTTTTGTAACCGTTTGGCCAAGCTATTTAGTATCTCTCAGAGTGAACAAGTGGAGAAGGTCTTCTCAGCCTGGGAGTTCCAGCAGGCGACTGACTGCTCTTCTGACTCTCTAAGAGGCAGGCACTTTCTGCACTCACGACTCCTTGCGGCGGCAAGTCTTGGAGAGCCAGTCTTCAGTGGGTTTAAAGAACCGGGATCAACCTCTGAAATGACATACAAAGGTGCGGGGCTGAAAGCAGCTGGAC